TGCCTCGCCTGGGAAGAGCTCAATGATGGTGCCAAATTGGGCCAGTGAAGCAACGTCCTCCACAACTAGACTGAAGAACAAAGACAGCAACTTGTCTGTTTCCCTTCCCCCAATTCCCCAATAAAAATCTTAAAAAAAAAAAAAAATTTCCATTTCTTCTTGAGTCAATTTGATAATTCACATTTTTCTGGGACATCATCAGCTTTATCTAGATTTTCAAATTTTATTTGTCTTATTAAAACTAATTTTTGGATTTATTTTTTCTTCCTACAATTTATTTGTATATTATTTCATTAATATTAAAATTATATTTATTATTTCTTTTAGTTCCTTTTGTTTTTTTCCTAATTTCTTAAGATGAATATTCATTTCCTGTATTTCTTCTGTAACAATGAAAGTATTTAAGGCCAATGAAAGTGTTTTGGGAACGAAGTAGTCTCACTTTCATTGTGTTTGAGATATTTTATGATTTCCCTTTTAGTATCCTTTTTGATAAAAGGGTTATCTAGAGGTATGTTTCTTAATTTCCAACTTAAGATTTTTTTGGGTCAAATTTTTATTACTTATGAAATTACAATCAGAGAATGTGGCCCATAAAATCACTAAAGATTTTTCTTTGTGGCCATGATCATGACAGTTTTGTAACAGTTCCTCGGATATATGAAAAAAATATGTACTTTCTACTGGAGGGATGTTTGGTTCTATACACATCATTTAATCAAGTTTGTTGATTCACCTATAACTAGTCTGCCTCTTATAATGCCCTTTAAAGCAGGTACTGACATTTGCCCTCCTCTCCCCCACTGCCTTTTTTGGCCAAGGAAACAGACCCAGACAGGTGAATTCGCTTACCCAATAGACTGTACAACTCTAAGTACTGGAGCTGTAATTTGATTACAGAAAAGCTGGCTTCAAAGTCCTTGCTTTTAAACACAAGCCTTTTCTGCCCAGTTACAGAGTTCATTTTCAAACCACCATGAAAAACATTATTTGTGTAGACAAATAGACTTCTGGCTTGTATTGTATTGTTATTTATTTGTTGTTACTGTTTATTTTGAAGATACTACACTTACCTCTAGGTCTGAAGAATGAAATTCATAATCAATATTCCAGCCCAATACTCCATATGTTTTTCTTTCATTGATCAGCGCATTGAAAAAACATAAGTTGAATAGAAGTTTTTTCCACCATGGTCCACAGTCAGTTTTTTCAAATATTTCTTCTGTTACCACTCCACACCCACTGTATCCAAACGTCTGGAGTAAATTATTTTTCAGTCCCGGGGGGTTTTCCACTGCAATCTTTAAAACAGATTTTCAAGACGTGAGTGAAAACATCATGTGAGGACAGATAAAGGCACTAGGACTAGAAGGGGCCCTTTTTTTGTATAGCGCTGATAAAAGAACTAGCAAAGAATGTAACTGTTTTCAAGAGTCAGTGGCAAATCAAAAATCTTGTGTCATTCTTTTCTCATTTGAGAACTTCTGGGAAAGGACTGTACCTGATTTCCTGTTGTTCCAACACATATCTGAAAATGAGAAGTATACCCCTGTCATTAAAAGGCCTCTTGTTTGCTCTCAGTATAGAGTTCTGGAAGAATGGCACTTGAGGAAACTTAACAATGAAGAGTTACTGTAGTCTCAACTCTCAATGGCAGGTAAGTGGCTGTAACAGAATTGGGGCTGCGTGGGCTCAGCCAGGCAGCAGACACAGGGGGGCCAAATCAGGAAAGGAAAACAATTAATGTGCATTTCTAAATGGCTTTGCTTTCATTACACATCCCTTTGGTTGACTTTTTTTTATTTCTTATTGGTTTATGTATTTATTTTTATTAATTAATTAATTTTTTTATTGTTAGTTTCAGGTGTACAGAACATTGCAATAGTTATCCTTTTCACCCTTCGCACAGAAACCCCCCTCCCCTATCTACTGCCCTCCCACCCCGATATCATGCTTATCTAGTACAATTCCATTGACTCCATTCCCACGCTCTACTCTATGTCCCATGACTATATGTATATATAATTATAGTTGACATACATTATTATTCAACATCAGCTTCAGAAATAACTAGGATAATTGAAGTGAGGAGGGACAGACGGTGACGTGAGGAGGGGATCAATTGGAGGGCTTTTGTGAGAGTGTGGCTGTTCAGTCTGAAAAGGTGAGGGTCTAAAATGTTCCCTTATGCACACAATTTACATACAAATACATACATGTATGCATATGTGTGTATATACGCGTGTGTATAATATATATAAATTGTGTGGATATACATACATGACATGTGTAAATGTGTGGATAGGTATGCATGATATATGGATGTGTGTCCACAAACAAGGGGTTTCTGGGTCAGGGAGCAGGCTGATTATTTATTTACAGAGCAGCTCTAGTTCCTCACAGGGTGACACAGTGGGAGATGGATGTACCCTGTGTGTATAGTAAGAGGGCCTCTGATGATGAAATTTGGAGCTTACACAGAATGGCTGGCATAGCAGCCCTCCCTTCCTTCCTGAGACAGGGAAGGAGAGAGACTTTTGCTCTGGAATGTAAACATATCCTCCCTGGGGACAGAGAAAGGGGTCTCTAGATTTTCACAACTCCTGGAGTGGAAGCAAATGGCTCTGAGTTTTATGACCTTTAGAATGTGAGCAAGTGGCTGTGAAAGGTGCCTGGTAGAGGCGATATTCTCTACCTGCCAAGGCGTGTTTGACTTTTAAGTATCTTTATATGCAGGCTGCCAGCAATCATAGCTCGGAAAGCCCTGACTATGCAGAAAAGAGAAAATATTCCCAGAGCACTGTTTCCTGGCTGTTAGGACTGATGTTTCTGAGAACTGTTCAGGTCTCTCAAACTAAATATCTGCTCACCTCCATAAGGGCAGATAGAGAAGGGAAGGAGAGAGGAAAAGGGAGGGAGAAAATGTGTGTGTACAATCAATAATGCCTTGGGAAGCAAGTTACTAATATCTGAGAGGAAATTTGATTTTGTTCAATTTCAAAAGCAGTTTCATGCCATGTCCAAGGTTTTCCTTCCTTCCTTCCTTCCTTTTTTTTTTTTTTTAAGGGATGATAATGTTTGGGTCATTTTTGTAAGGAAGTGATTTACTCACTCTGGCAGTTGCTTCTGTTAAAACTCTGAACTGATTGTTTTCTGGGGGGTGGAGTGGTATAGTACTTTTTATTTAATTAACTCCATGTACCCATTATTCACCTCGGACAATGGTCAATATTGCAAAATCCTGTTGAACTTGTTGAGTATTAAAAAAGAAAAGCTGTAGCCAACCCGTGAGAGCTCTGTAACAACCCTGAGTGTATGATTTTAGCTGTCTGTTCTGCCGTCTTTCATGTCTCTGCTGAGGCTTTTCCTGCCTCTCTGCTGCCACGCTACAGCCTACATCCCATAATGGAAACACCTGCTCCCACTTCTCATGCCTTCACTGGTAAGAAGTTGGACATATACTGTTAAAATGCCTTTCTTATACAATTCATACATGCTTGTTGTAAGCATTTTAGAAAAACAGATAAAAATATAATAGAAAAAACAGAAAACAAAATACTAAAAAATATAACAATATAAAATGTTTTTAAAATATTCAAAAATCACTAATAACATGCCACCTAGAGGTAACTACAAATAACATCTGGTTATATTTGTTGCTATAGAATGCTTTTCCTCTTTTTCTTTTATAAAATTTACATTATATGTCCTGCTTTGCATTTTGCTTTTTGCCATAGTCATTTCATGTTCTCATTTTTTTTTTTTTTTTTTTTTTTAGCTGAGCCATCCTGCTACTTGTTGGCAGCTCAGCAGCTGCTCAGCTTGGGCTGGACTCGAACCGCTGTTGCTCAGAGCTCAAACTCTTGAGCGAGCTCTTAACTAACTGAGCCACTCGGCCGGCCCATGTTCTCATATTTTTAAATATTCCTTTAGAATTTTATTTTCAGTGGCAGCATACTGTTTCATCATATAAATATAGCATAATTTATTTGGTCTTTTCCTAGAACTGAGTCATCTGATCAAACTGTATGAAACTTTAAGAGACCATTTATACATAGAGGGTGTCAAAAAAATGTATACACATTTTAAGAAAGGAAAAAACTATTAAAATTACACTGATGGTAACCACTTTGAGCACCTCTTGTAATTGCAAAAGTCAAACATGACTTGTATTCCTCTTGTTATTGGTACATATTATTACAATTTTAATACAGTGTTTTTCCTTTCTTAAAATGTGTATACCTTTTTTTGGCACCCTCTGTATATTGCAGAATTACCTTGCTTACTGGATTAATATCTTTCTGATATTACCTTATAAACAGTATGTGAGAGTGGTTATTTCATAATACCCTTAACAATCACTAATTATATCATAACAATTTTAAATCTTTGCCAATTTGATGGGCTATCAAAGGTATCTCATTGTTTTTATTTGCATTTCTTTGATATCTAGAGGCTAAAATTTTATTTTTCCATATATCTATTGACCTTTTGTGTCCTTTACCCATTTTTACGGGGTGTTAAGTGTTTTCCTTTATTATTTGTAGCTGCTCTTATTTATATATTAAGAAAATTAACATCTCTAGCTGTACAGACTATGGTATACGAAAAATCCCACAAAGTTTTATGTATGTATTAATTTGCAACCATGTTAAAAATGCTTACACTGATGGAGACTTAACGTTGAGTTAGAGCAATGGACCGCCTTAAGATGAAATGCTCCTTGAAGCTCTACCTCTGTCCCTCCCTGCCACCTTTCATTCCCCCCTCCCAGTACCTCAGTACCTCCACCTCCCAAATCCCCCACTCCTGGCCAAAGATAAAATGTTGTCTGAGAGCACCACATGCCGGACCCTGGGAAGGAAAGGGAATATCATGAGTCTCAGACTAAAAATTGTGGATTTCTGCACACCACGTTCTCCAGGGTCAGGGTTGCTGAGAGGAGGCTCAGTGCTGTCGGCTTGGGTAAATATACGCAGGAAGCTGGGAGGGGCTGGGGAGCACTGCAACAGGGAGAAGTCGCTTTCTTTCCCAAGAGTGAACTTGATTTAGTCTCAGACTGGGTTGTGACTCTACCAGGAAAGTACCCATCCACCTGATCTCTGTCCTCACCCGATTCTGGTAAACGTGGAGACGTGCCTGTGCTCATGTATCTGGGCACAGCATCCTGCCTTTGGCCAGTTTTCTCTGCTATTAGGACTCCATCTTTTGGTTACAAATAACTGGATACTTATTTGTAACAGAATTGATCAAGTCTTAGTATTTATTCCAACTCAATGATGGAGATGAGTAGGAGTCACAGATAATCCTCAATTAGGCTTTTTTTGTCAATAGTTTCAACCTGCTTTCTGCCAGACCCTTTCCAGAGAATTACTAATGAACCGTGAAATATGAGGAGCAGCAGAGATAGGAAAAAGGTAGAGAAGCAGAGGGCAAGAAAAGGACACAACTTCTATATTCTGGTTTATAACAGTTAGAAGTCTAAGCATCCTTGTTTGAAAACACGAACATCAGAACTGTGAATCATTTGAAAGGAGGGATCTTATCTGTCACTTCAGCATCCTTCCTGATCCACAGTATAGGGCCGAGCATGGAGCAGAAATTTAGGATTCTAGAATTAGCATACACTTCTTAATTATGAAAGCAAGATACTTTACATTCAGTGTTCCTCAGTCAGTATTACAATCTGCTATACTTTGTCCTTACCTTTAAACTCTTTTGAAGAAGAGGAATTGGGAAAGAACTGTTTGATTCTGAGCTTAACCATAGCCTAAACTCAGGGTCTACTGTCACATCTGGATTATTAAATCTGCAAAGGAAAAAATTTATATATTGATTTGAAAAAGTTAAGCGAAACCAACATGTTCTAAAAATCATAGTACTTCAATGTTTTAGGTGACATTAGAAATCATTTTAATAATCAAAGGTTTTATTAGACCACCCTAAGAATTTTCATGTTGCTCAAGAATTTGCATAAGACCCACTAATTCCCATTTTTAAAAAGTAGTTTTTCCTCCCATAAGTACAAAAGTGATATATACTCACTGCAAAAAACCTGGAAAAAATTACGAATTAAGAACTAAATGAGGAGTTCCACGGGTCAAACCTGGGACAATTGAACATCAAAATAAAGGATGATAGATTATAATCCATTGAATAAAACAGGAATCCATTATATCAGTTCATACTGATATAAACAAATTAATAAATAAATGGGGGAGAAGGAAAAATCTTTTCCTTATAGAACATCATGTAACAAATTTGGAAGGAATTGTGGAATTTAAAAGTCACCATTGATAAGTAAAATAGTAACAACTCAGTAGAAAATTACCAATGGATGTTAAAATTAGTGAGCAAAAGTTTGAGATGTATATACAGCCTGAAAGTCCCAACAGGCGGCAGATACCACTTTCATCAAATGATCGCAGTTAATATCACCAGTAATGAGATGGGCTGGCCTCATGTGCCTCTTGACACAACATCACTTCTGTAGCATTCCTGCAAAACTGCATAACCTTAGTCTAACCATGAGAAAACAGCAGACAAACCCAAATTGAAGGATGCTTCACAAAATAACTGGCTTGTCTTTTTAAAAAGGTCAAAGTTATGAAAGATAAAGACAGACTTGGGCAACTATTCTAGATTAAAGTGGCTTTAAGAGACATAACAACTAATTGCAATAAGAAATCCTGAACTGGAACCTGGACCAGAACTTTTTTCTTTCTGTTGCAAATACACGATATCACAGGGACAATAAGCCAGATGTGACTAAGTTTGGTTGATTAGATTATCAAAAAACACACTGAAGTATTTAGGAGTCAAGTGGCATCATGTCTGCAACTTACTTTCAAATCAGAAAAAAAAATTACATATGGAGGACATGATAGGGCAAATGTTAATCGGAAAATAGAAGTAAAGGTTATAGGGGAGTTTTTGTATCATTATTGCAACTTTTCTGCAAGTCTGAAATTATTTTTTTTAATTTATAAAACAAACCAAAGCAAAAAACAAACAAACCACACCCTAAACACACAATTAAACAGAAAAACAAAAATAACCTGAAATTTCATGAAGTATAGTTTTCTTCTCTCTCCTCTTAAAAATATACTGTACAGTCTGTTTGTAGCCTATTTTTTCTCTTAGCAGTATATTGTGAACTTATTTAATTCCTAAATTTCAGAAAAACTTTTTTTTAACATTTTTCTCTCCCACTGTAGGGTGACAGTCTTAAATACTTAAAGGCTTTATTTGATAAAGAAGTATGAATTTATGATCATATACTCTGATTATATAGAATGTTTTTTACATATCACTAATTGCTATTATTAAGCCTTTGAAATTCTGTTCTGAAGAACATTTCTGTAATATTTTTTAGTGATACATTGCTATTTGCCATTCTATTGTTTCTCTCCATCTTAATACACTTTTTGAAGGCTGATACAATCAATGTCTGGTCCATGCTGTCTCCTTACTCTCTAATGATTCTTGGCAAATAGTAGGTACCCTATAAATATTTTTGAATAAATAATGAGTGAAAGACCTGGTCGAAATTATTGTGTCATCTTTCAAAGTTTACATCTATTGAAATCATATAATGAGGAAATCTTTGTCTTCTGAGTCTTCTAACTGATGAAATAAATGTGGAAAAGAGAAATTATGAAATAATTTTTGAACTGCTAAAAAAGTAACAGTTGGGAGCAGAATGAATGATATTAGCAAAGTATTTAGAGATTTGAGTCAGTTGCATTTATGGATGTCTCATTAGTTGCAAACCAAAGGGGAGAAAAGGAACGACTCACGCTACCATGATGGGGATGTCACCCCTCACATTGCTCAATCTTCACTCAAAGTTATAGCTGTTAATTTCCAAACATTTTCATTGCAAAGAAGAAGGCTGAACCTGTGGAAATTTCTGCCTGAGTGAGCAAGAGCTTTGGGAGATACAACCTAAAAAAGTGGGTTGAGCTAGAGAAAGTCAGAATAAGTACTAAACATAGGCCATAAATAAATCATCACTAAAAGTATGAATATGAAGTATTATATTCTGCTTGGAATCACATAGAATATTAAAAACTATGTTACAGAGCTATACACGTATATTCAGTGTATGGATGCATGCATATCTACTGAGAGTGACAGTGTGAGAAGGAAGGTGATAGACAAGATGGAAAGTAAAAACTAAAGAGGCATTTTTTTCTAATAAAAACTGAAATATTTTTAGAGTAGTTTTCAAGTTCGTAGAAGAAAAGAACCCACATAAGACAGCTTAAGTTTTCTCTGAGTTGCCCAACACATTATTTGATCACTGTTTAAAGTACGGTACATGTTGCCATTTCTTGCGTTACACTTCATTGTTTTGATAATTAATCTGATCCCTTACAAGTAAATGTGAAACTCTTACGATTGTACAATAGTGCAAAGCCTTGGCATGAAGGATGCTGCACGATGGCAGTTCTGGAGGACGACCCACTGTTCTGGTCTGGTCAGCGCCTTCACAATGAGGTCTTCTGCCTTAGCTTCCCGGCCAAGGCCCAGGGAAATCATGGTCACGTGATGTGTTGTTCCTTTTAACTCTTGTGCAAATTTGAGAACAGCATTGGTGATATCAATCCCTGTATAACAGTGTGGAGAGGTACATACAATTGTAAATTCATCTAATTCCCTCTTAAAAAATACAATCTAGCATTTATTGAGTGGTGGTTGGAGAAGATATAGATATAGTGGAAAAACTACAGTATTTGAAATTAGTACAGTATTTGAAATTAGAGTTCAAATTTTGACTCTGCCACTTACTAACTGGGTAACACCTAGGTTTTCTAATATACAGGGATGATAATATCTACCTACAGCGGCAACTGCTGGTTATCTATTTCAATACCATTTGTCCCTTCCTCCACTATAGCTGAACCCAATGTTACTTGAGATGGCTGTGTACCCAGGCAAAATACTTTGTTTTTAGCTTCTCTTGCAGCTAAGTATTGGCATCTAAGTTTTGTGAATAGGCTTTGGCAGCAATGGCTGTTACACAGTTGTGTAATTGTTCTTTGCCTCCATTCTGTTGTTTGGAACACGGATGTGAAGGCTAGAGCCCTAGCTGCCATCTTGGGCTGAGTATTCAAGAAATGGGCAGCACCTATTATGAGTGTGTCAGGCACATAGCCAGTTCCTTTGCATAGAAATAGTTTTAGATGAGAAAGCCTCCACACGAGGCATTTTGGATGAGATTTTTGCCCAATAGGATCAAAGTTTGAAAATGGTCAATTCTAAAGACGTATTTGATTTGGAGGTGAGGAAGAACAGGAGATACATGAGGAAAATATTTTGCTTAGGGTCTGTAGACCAAAGATAAGAAAAAGGAAAAGCATTTGGAGTTTTGAGGAATACAAGGGCTGGATTAGCAGGACCATATGTTTATTTTATAACGTATATATTTTTTTCATGAGTTGATGTGAACTAAAAGTTAATAAAGGGAAATCCCAACTTTGTAACCAATAATAGGTATTTGGGAGGTATTTTCTGTACAGAAAACTAGCGTGGATAAATATTTCCGTATTTGTGAGTCGGGCAATCTTATGTCTCTCTTTGTTCATTTACATTTTTAGAAAGATTCATTCTTGGGCCGGCCTAGTGGCACGATGGTTAAGACCTGGCTTGGGACTCCAGAGGCCCCGGTTCGGATCCCACATATGAGGGCCAGTGACACTGCCCTCTACAGCTAAGATGCTGAACAACAGCTCAACCTGGAGCTGGGCTGCTGTGAGTCACCGGCGACAGCGTAGGCTGCAGCCCCTGTGGCAGTGGGTTGCCATGGGCCACCGTGTGTAGCCAGCAGCCAGCATGAGCGGCCAGCAGCCAGCGTGAGCGGCCAGCAGCCAGCATGAGCGGCCATCCAGAAGCCGGCGACTGATCTGCCTCGCCCAGGAAGAGCACAATGATGGTGCCAACTTGGGCCAGTGAAGCAACGTCCTCCACAACTAGACTGAAGAACAAAAGGACAGCAACTTGTCTGTTCCCCTTCCCCCAATTCCCCAGCACTGTTCCCATCCCCCAATTCCCCAATAAAAATCTTAAAAAAAAAAAAAGATTCATTCTTAATATACTTCAAAATTTAAATGTTTCTTCCCCAAATATTTAAATAAGAATGGGAAAGTATTTTAAACATGAAATAACCTGACGTAGGACCTAGTTGTCGACATCTTTTGACAAACATTGATTCACCATCTTAACTGCTTACAGGTAGCTCACCGTGGGTGTGAATAAGTATCAGTGGGGTTCTGGCACTGGATTCTTTATATGGTTCTTTCCAAGTAGTTCCAGTTCTGTGAATATATTCACTTCCTATTTTTTCAGTTATGAACTTACTCACTGAATTATTTAAACTTTCTGGTCTAAGAATTTTTATCTAAAAAAGAAAACATGGAAGATAAAGTAACTTTAAAAACCACCCGAAGGGAAATCCACTATGATAAAAAACAAACAAACAAAGATGTTTTCATTATTTAGGTTGTCAGTCTGAGTGTTATGGTATTTCTGGGTAAGTTTAATGGGAGAGAGTCTATGTGTGGTGGGGAAACTGCCATTACTGATCACAACTTGGATCTTTACATCTAAAAGCAAGATCTCAGTCAGAGTGTGAAAGAGATAGAGGCACAAGGTGGCCCTGGCATCTAGGAAGGGCCACATGTGGAACAGGGTATCAATCTATCCACAGTTACCAGGTGGATAACATAAACCAGAGAAGTGGGTTAGATAGAAGAAAAACAATTGTCTTGTATAAGAAAAACAAAGATGCAAATATGATGTTAAGTGGCAACAAGCATTCAACTTCAGTGTCAGGAAGTAATTGGGAGGTGGTGATGATAGTGGTGAACTGGTCCAAAGTGGCCGACATGGCTCAGCCCCAGCTATTGCTACTGAGGATTGCAGGCCCAGTATTGCCTGATTGTCTACATTTTTAATAGAAACTAGATTTTCATGTGCAATCTCACAACTTGCAAAGTTTGGCTCAAAAACAACCACCACCACCAACCAACCAACCAAGCAAAAAACTTGTATACCAATGTTCATAGCAGTACTATTCACAATAGCCAAAAGGTGGAAGCAACCCAAATGTCCATGAACAGATGAATGGATAAACCAAAATAAGGTATAGCCATATAATGGGATATTATTCAGCCTTAAAAAAGAAGAAAATTCTGATACATGGTACAACATACATGAACTTTGAAAACATTATTCTAAGTGAAATAAGCCAGGCACAAAAGGTAAATATTGCACGATTCCAGTTATCCAGTACCTAGAACAGATAAATTCAGAGAGACAGAAAATAGACTGGTGGTTGCCAGGGTCTA